GTGTGTGTGTGTGTGTGTGTGTGTATGTGTGTGTGTGTGTGTGTGTGTGTATGGGGGGGGGGGGCAGAGGTTTCGCGGCGTCTGGTGATGAGGTCTGACGCCGACCGCGTGAAATCAAGTCGAGAGGGGCGGCGAGGTCGACAGGCGCAGCGGTTGCAACGCCAGGCTGAGTGTGTTTTGCACACGCATTTGCGCTGGGCAAAGGGGTTTCCATATTTCAAGACACGGGGAGCAGCAGGTGGGTTGAAGAAGCCTGGACGGACATCGCTTGGCGCCACCCACCAGTCCGCAAGCAGCAGACCGATGTCGTTGCCGCTGAAAGAACTGTACCCCTCGCCCTCCGCCTCTGCCGCCGCCAGCCGGTCGGCGTCCGGGTCGTTCGCCACCACCACCCCCGCGCCTGCCGCCGCCGCTGTGGGGTGCACGGTTCCCGGCGGCGGGCTGAGGCGCAACTAGTGTACTTGCGCGCTGACGAGCGCTGGGAGGCTGGCGACCAGCGCCGCGGCCCGGCTCTTATGCACTCGCAAAGGGCTTCGGGCGGTCGTCCCGCAGCCGGGAGCAACAGATGGCCTCCCGACGCCGCGGGCAGAGCGCTGCCCGGCGCTCGCCCGGCCCAAAACCATGAAAAACCCTCTCGTCTGCACAGGTACATTTGGCCCCACCTGCAGCATACGCCATGCTCCACACGCCGCGCCCCTCCTCGGGGTTTGGCGGGTTGTCCCCCAGCGTCGAGAACTCGGGGTCGGGCACTGCCTGGGCCTCGACCACTACGGGCTGCGGCAGCCCAAATACCTGCGTCGTTGTTAGACGCGGCCGCGCACAGGGGGTGTTATCATGGCTGTTCGCATGGCGCTTGCGAGCAGGATCCTGCTTGGGCCGCACAGGGGTAGGGCCCCTGCCCCTGTGAGAAACAACGCAAGGGCCCAACTTGATCGGCGCAGCGGGTGCGAAACGAGGCTCAGCGGTGCGTGAATCTCAAGGCGAACGACGCGGCGAACGGGGCGCACCTTGAAGGCTCGTTGCACAGACTCGAGGCCAACACCGTGCTGCGAGGCGCGGGCGCACGTGCACGAGCATGTGTGTGCGTGTGTGTGTGTGGGGGGGGGGTGTGAGTGGGCGTGTATGGGCGTCGTGAGCTTGCACTTTTTTGCCGTGCCTGTGCCATTGTGTGCGTTTCAGCCGCATCGGTGGGGCCCTGCAAAATGCGTATTCCACGAGTGGTGTACGGCAGCCCCCAAATTTGCCCCCCAAATCGCATGCCAAGTGTCGGCGGCCGCAGCAGCCCCCGCCCGCCCGCACCAGAGGGGTGTAGACAACCGGCTTGGACGCGCCGTTCTCCTCAGCAGAGCAGAACCTGACGTTATCCTCCAAAGCTCTGAAATACGCCTCGGACACGGGCTCCAAGGGGTCCGACAGCAGGCCAGATCGCGCCGCCTCGGACAGATCAACCTTGGACAGGTCCCACAGGTCAAGGTTGGCCTCGATAGCCGCGGCGATGCCGGCGTCGAGGGGCGGGATGATCTGGGCGTTGAGGTGGTCAATGCAGTGCCAAAGTTAAGGGGGAAAGGGCGAGGCTGTGCAAAGTGCTGATCGGCAGCGGCAAAGACGGAGCGCGACGACCAGAGCAGCGACGCAGGCTGTGTGCGGTGCGCGGCACTTCTGTGTATGACGCAGGTGCTGCCCCAGAGAGTTTTTATCTCCGTTGAAATTGGCGGCGCAGCAACGCATCCCAAAGCCCACCTGGCAGCCATTGGCCCAGTACACCTGCGGGCAAAATTCAATGCATGAGCAGCAGCGGCGGTGGTGGCCGGCAACGCACGCATCAGCACCAGGCCAGCATTCCGGCCGATCACAGTACCCTCGTCAGCCCGGGCCCCTGGGAACCCGCGCCCGTCACGGCTTCCCCCTTGCCATGCCTGCCTTTGCTGCATCCGCAGGGCAGGCCTGCCGAGCCCAAACCCTGGAACAGCCCTTTGAGCCCCACAGGGCCGCCTGTGCCCCAGGACCTCTCCTGACAAGCCCCCAAATCGCCATCACATCCACTTATTCCAAGTCCAGCCCGCACCTTGTAGCCGTTGTACTCTTTTGTGTTGTGAGACGCCGTGACCATGACCCCAGCGGCCGCCCCCAGGTGGCGCGTGCCGAATGCGACGAAGGGTGTGGGTGTGATCTTGCTGAAGAGCTTCACGGGGACGCCCTGGGGTGTGGAGTGTGGGGTGCAGGGTTTCGCGTGTCCGGTGTTGGGTGCGGAGTGCGGGGTTCGGAGTGCGGGGTGTGCAGTGCAGGGTGCGGGATGTGGGGTATTGGGTGTGGGCGGGTGAGGATCGAAAGGCGGATGGGGCCCCCGCCCTTGCAGCTCGACAACCAGACCCTCGCGCAGCCGGGCCGCCTGCTGTCCGCCGCAATAGGAGCTCGAACGGCTGGGCGGGGCGAGGGCCACCTCCCAGGCGCGGGGACGTCAAGCGGCCTGCGTGTGGTCGCTGGTCGTGTCTGCGACATCGCCGCGGCGCCCTGACAAAGACGCACCTGGCTGAGAAACACCTTGGTGGCGACCTCCGCGAAGCCGCGCGAGTTGTGGCGCGCGTCATGGCCTGCCGAGGGACCGGGCAGGAGCAAGGAAACCACGGGGCGAACGCGTGTGTCGGGGGGCGGGTCCGCGTCCGGGTGGCCGGGGCGCAACCCTGGTGGTTGGGAGCGGGTCCCATGCAATCGCCAGTGGCGCGGCTTTGGATCCACTACTCTGCGATTTGAGCGCAGGTCACGGCACCTGCTGGGTTCCCATGAGCAGCAAGCTGCAATCGCCCCAGGCTCACCCAGCACGATGCCGCCCGCCTTGAGCAGCTGGGGGTTTGTCTCCTGCAAATATCTGCACAAGCCCTGGTGGGAGGGAGGGGGTGGGTCGTGCGGGGGCGGAGGCGGCGTGCTGTGGTGGATGGGGGTGCTGCATCACGCAGCGGGTGGGTGGGTGAGGGGGGCGGGGGCCGGCGGCCAGCGGCTGGGTGTGCTAACGCGGATGAGACGCCCTGATCATCATTGCCCCTGACTTATACCCACCCCCTCACCGTCACAGACCCGACCTATGGAGCCCCCGACGGCTGAGTTTTCTCAAAGGGACAGCGCAAGATGGCCCTCAGGGCCGCCCGCTCGCACCCCGGCGGACTACCGAACCGCACCTGCGTGGACTGCTGGACTGTGACGAGGTTCATGCGGCTGAAGCCCGGCCCCATCTTGCCGCGCAGCCCCGCGGTGCCTGGCCGCACATGATAGTGGGATGGAAGGGGTGAGTTGGGTGCAGCTGCTGAATCGGGGAAGTCGGGCGTGTGCATGGGGCGTTGCGTCCCCAAGTTTTTCAGGCTGTGTGCACTGCCACTTCCGCGAGTCATCCACATCTTGATGCCTAGAGGCGTGCAGGGCCAGACAGGCACTCCTGCATGCATTCAGGTCACAGTCATTCCACCCAAATGTTGCACACATTGTATTTGCATGCATCATGCACAGGTCCCTTACCTGCCACCCAAATTTTGTCCAACCATCCGCGCACATGCATGCTCCGGCGCACGCCTCCCTGCTGTTTGTTCCACAAACCGCACATATTTGCAAACTCGGATACGCTGCTTTTCTTTGACCTGTAGGCACGCATCCAAGGCGCGGCATGTGACGCACATGGCCGCTGCGTCCCCCGACCGTGCACCGCTCACCAAACTCGAGCCGCTGGCAAAACAGGTCCCGCAGCACTGCCTCGTCGCCGCTGCTGACAAGAGCTGCCACCTTAGCACGTGATTCCGGGTTAACATCCAGCCGCAGCCACTCCTCTGCACCACGGATGGCATCTGGCGCCGCCGGTGTTGCTGGGGATGCCCGGGTGGCGAGGCGGCCGCACACACGTTTTGAGGATGGCCGCATCGTGGAGGATGGGGCCGTATACTTGAACGCGCCGCCGTGCCTGCCAACCACGATCATGATTGGTAGAGAACAGGTGCTTGTCACACAGCTCGCTGGATCTGTGATCTGAACGGCACCCGGTCACTACCATATAACATCAAGTTGTGCAATTTAATATCTCACATGCTCACTTCTCACTCAGTATCATTGGCCCACATGCACCGCCTGCTGGGCTCCAGTCGACAAACACAAACTCCCTAGCGAGGGCCTGTCTCGCCCTTTCTTGGTCGACCCCCCTGCCCATCCTTAAACACAGCAGCCATGGGGAAGAAGGGCAAGGGAACCGGCTCTTTCGTGAGTGCTGGGCACTGGCTGCTGCTGGTGCTGTGCTCGCGCCGCCCGGGGCCCTCGCTGACCCCAGCTGTGCTTCTTTTGCTGCATGCAGGGTAAGCGCCGCAACAAGACGCACACTCTGTGCCGTCGTTGCGGGCGCCGCAGCTATCACATCCAGAAGAGCACCTGCGCGTCCTGCGGCTACCCCGCTGCCCGCATCCGCTCTTGTGAGTAGAGCATGGTGGTGACAGGCACGCTGCCCGAACGGACGTGGCTGCTCGGGTCATGGGTGCGAGCTCTGCGATCAGGAGACAGCCCGCGGAGCACCTAGAGGCATATGAGCAGAGTTTACAAGCTGATTGGTTAGGCGTTCGCGGTTGTCGTGTCGTACTGGAGCCGGCTGCAGGGGACCAGCGGCTGCTGCTCAACAGCTGATGCAGCGCGAGCAGTGCCGCAGCACCAGAGCCTTCTGCACTGTGGCGCACGCAGCACATCGTCAGCAGCAGTCGCAGGCATCCCGGGACCAGCTATGGCACATGCTGTCTCCTGCCAACCAGCCCGGACGATGTCGCTGCAGCGATTCTGAAGGCACTGGAACACTGCAGCAGAAGGGGGCAGCCGTGCGCTGCCACTTCTGGTGCTCCAGCGCGCCGAGGTGGCGCCCGGTCATCCGCATCCCTTCACAGAACCATAGCAGCGGCGCCACCTCAGCTTGCACCAGTACAGCAGCAGCAGCCGCGCCTCACAAGGCAGCTGCCCCCTCCAATAGTCGACATAGCACCAGGGTGGTCCTGACGTTGCTCCCTCTCCACCCGCCCGCTCGCCCGCCGCGCCGCCCCCCTCAGACCAGTGGGGCCAGAAGGCCATCCGGCGGAAGACCACCGGCACCGGCCGCATGAGCTACCTCAAGGACCTGCCCCGCCGCTTCAAGAACGGCTTCCGCGAGGGTGAGCGCTGCAGCCGCATTGCAGGGCGCGGCGGCGCTGGTCCGGCGCGAGGGGGGGCGCGTCTGGGTTGTTTGTACGGTTTTCGAGGTTTTGTGTGCAGGGGTGGGTGGAGCCGGGGCGGCGACCGCTCGTCAGCTTGTGGGAGCTGGCGGGCATCGGGTGTGGGGTCGCGCGCGTCGCAGCGGGTGTCATTTTCGTCATGCGCGGCGCCGTGCGCTCTGAGCAGAGGGTGATGGCCCCGCATGGGTTGCGGGCGCTCAACAGCGAGAGCGCACCAACATATCTCTGTTGTGCCCTGCGTCTGCACGCATTTGAGGGGCTCATCTTTCTCTAGCAGCCCTGCACAAAGCAGAAGCAAACCGAGTTGCAGCCATGCTTGCAACTTTTCCCATAACCGCTCATTGTGTCCTCAACCCTGCTCCTGCGCGTGCTCCCCACAGGCACCGAGGCCAAGCCCAAGGCTGTCGCCGCGGCCTAAGCTGGTTGCCATTTGTTGCTGATGCGCGGTGGTCGTTCGGAGGCGGCTGCTCTGACAGTGGCGGCCGTGTAACACAAGCAGCAGCTGAATCCCGCCCAGCCTGGAGCAGCCGGGCGTGCCAGCTTTCGGGCTTGCTGGTGAAGTTTGTGGGGCAGTCAGGACTCGCAGCTGCTGGGGAGCCCGGCGGTGCTGCGCTTCGGCCACCGCACGGGTCAGGCGCCTGTGCTTGTCCAAAACCCAGGTTACCCCCAGCGACAGCAGGGGCGCGGTTGTGGGGCAAGGGCACGTGCGTGGCTTGGGCGTTACATTGGGCGGCGGCACAGCGGGCTTGGAGGCAGGGGGGGTGCGCCCTGCTGCAATGCACCCGGGCATGATGGGCGGCTTTCTAGACAAGGGGTGGGGCGGGCGGAAAAAACGACAGCTGCGCGCGGTGCAGCAGCTGCGTGTGTCTACAGGGTGGACGGACAGCAAAGCCTGGCTAGTCCTACGACTGGGCAGCCCACGATGGTAGTGGCTGGCCGCCAAGTTGACACCCAGAGGAGGGGGGACATGCACAGAGCGGGTCACAACGGGCGCCCCGCTAGCGCACACTGGCGCACCATGGGAGGGCCGGGCGAAGCGCGCATGCCAGGGGGCGGGCGCATGCAGGCGCGGGCGAATAGGGGCTGGGCGCGCTGCAGTCCTGCGGCCTGCGCCCTGCAGAGAAACCTGCAGCTGACAAGAAAGCACACCAAAGCACTGACGCGGGAATGTGCGCTGGCAATCAATACGCGACAGCATCACACCACTCTTCTACCAAAACATCACTGAAGCGGTCGCTCCTATCCCATGAGATCACAAACAATACGGGTCAAAGCGTGGGTCTAACGCTCTTCCGCTCCTCAGATTACCGCTCCGACGACAGCTGGCCCTTATCGTACAGCCGCCGCCGCTGAGGGTCCCTGAGCACTTCGTACGCAGCCTGCAGCCGCATGAAGCGCCCCGCCGCGCGCGTGACGGCCTCAGCGTCGCCGGAGCTCGCGTGGCGGTCGGGGTGCAGCTGCAGCGCCGCTTTCTTGAACGCTGCCTTGACTGCGTCGTCGTCAACGTCCGCAGCTGCGCGCGGCGGTTTGGGTTGGTTCTATGTGATTTGCATAATTTTAGCGGGCTTTTGTTGGTTCGGTTTTGGGGGTTGTTGGAGGGGTGGTTGAAGCTGAGGAGGGAGGTGTGGCAGTGGACTTGGCAGCCGCGGGGTTGCCGGCGGGGTGGCGAACGTCCGGCACACTGGGCAGTGACGCGACGAGGACACGCTCGTCTCACTGGCACTTCCCCCTCAGCATGTGCATGGGCCGAAGCACGGGCCAACCTCCGGCCTGACATCCGCACCCCCGAGCCAGCTGGTCATCGCGCAAACTGCATGCGCACGAAACCGACGGCCAAGGCGACAGCAGGCCCAAAGGTTTGTTGACCCCAGTCAACCCACCAGAGGGATCCAGCCCCATGAGCCGATAGTAACCCAGGAAGTCCCTCCGGCGCGGCGCGCCCCCCGCCGCGCCGCTGCGCGCGCTGGGCCCGCCGCCGCCGCCGCCCGGGCCGGCCTCCTGCCAGGGGTTGTGGCTGGGGCCAAACTTGGCGCGGCGCGCGTCCTCGCGCTCGGCGTCGCTCGCCTGGCGCTCCCTGGGCCGTTTTTATTCATTCAACGGGCAGGCATAGGTGCGAGGGCGGTGCTCAGTTCGGGACTGCGCTGAGCCTAGCTGAACGGGGTGGCCTGCGGTTGATGTAACTAGTCAGGATGCGATATCCATCCTGTCCGCCATCCTTTTGTGCGTCCCATATATAAGGACATACCATGGAGCCGCCCTGCAGAGTGAAGGGCACTCC